AGCTGTACAGCATCATGCTTAGATATTTATGTAACTTATAAAGCGATCCCCTGATAAGTCTAGTACCCACCTGACACCATACATAGTTATTAAAATACTAGAGGCCTGGTGCACAAAATTTGTGCATTGGGGGGGGGAGGGTCCCTCTTCCCGGCCTGCACCCTCTCCAGTCCAGGACCATTCCCCTGCCTGCCTGCCTAATCGCCCTAACCACTCTGCCTGCCTGCCTGATCGCCCCTAACTGCCTCTGCCTGCTTGCCTAATCGCCCTAACCACTCTGCCTGCCTGCCTGATCGCCCCTAACTGCCTCTGCCTGCTTGCCTGATCGCCCCTAACCCTTCTGTCTGCTGGCCTGATCGCCCCTAACTGCCCTCCCCTGCTGGCTGATTGCACCTAACTGCCCTCCCCTGCCAGCCTGATCGCCGCTAACTGTTCCCTTGCCGGCCTGATTGCCCCTAACCGCCTCTGCCTTGGCCCCTGCCACCGTGGCTTTGTCTGGAAGGAGGACTGGATGACCGGAAGATGTCCAGTTGACCCGGTTTAATTAGCGTATTACCCTTTTATTAGTATAGCTAATTGACAATATTCCCTATGCTGTACTAGTCCTTATGTCTTAATTCAGATCCTGGTCATGATTAAATATAGGATATAGGCTCATGCATCTGTATGAGAATTGGCCACAGTGAAATTCCAAGTAACATAAGCTCTTACTTCAGACTCAAAATCAAAATAATTTAAATAGGTCGTAAGAGCAAGCATCATACACTGAAATATTTATATACATGAGCTATCTCATAGAACTAGTTTCATACCTATCCTGGCATGATTGTGATGTGATAACATGGTTTCTGTTAATTCATAACATTTTCAGGTAACCATGGATGGTTAGGTTGGATATAGAAGAGAATGTTAGTAAGGTCAAAGGCCATGATTATGGGTTTATTTTTTTAGTAGTAATCACTTTTCCCCCCTGATTTCATAACCACAAACTTCACCAGCAGTCTCACCAGATGCACGGCATTAGTTACAATTGACATATTGATTGATTTTGAACTTTCCTTGTATATGAAGACCTAGATGAAGGAGGTTGATGTAATCATGGCAAGAGACCGCTAGTACTGAAAGAAATACAATTTCTGTTCCATTACCAAAAACCAATGGTAAGTCTGTAACAATGTTATTTATAAAGGACAGAATTATTTAAGAGAAAGGATGGGGGAATTCCTAACATTGGAATTTGGGCATATGATGATAGCCAAGACTGATAGTTGAAGAAAATATGAATATGCGTTAAGCACAACTAAGGATATTTTTAGCATTGAGGCACTTTTCTATGTTGAATTTTTAGTATAACAATTTTAGGACAGTTCTCATGAACAAATAAGAAAATTAAATTTAAGATATTTATTTGTTTACCCAGGGAATCTTGTGGAGAGATTTCATGATTGTAATCCATATTAGTTCTTTGTGTATCCATATTAAGTGTGCAGAATGTTAAGTTTTGTAAAATATAAAGGTGAATAAGACTTGTTTTTGCTGTAGAGAATTTAAGCTAATTCATTTAGTAAACAAGAAACTCAGCAAGCTACATGTAAAAAATCCTTTGCTAGATATTAGGATTATAATAATGATTATGCCCTTTTCATTTATGCATTTATTCAGTATTTATTGAGTGTCTACCATGTGTCAGGTTCTGTTCTAGTTTTAAGCAGTACAACAGTGAACAAAACAAAGTTCTTACTCCAGTGAAACTAACATTCTAGTGGAGGAAGAAAAAAATACATAATTATATACTACTCGAGGCCCAGTGCATGGATTCGTACACTGGTGAAGGGCGTGGCATGTGGGGATGGGCTGCTGTGGGAGTGCCGCTCATCCCAGTCAGCTGAACGGCTGTGGACCCGCCCTCTAAGCGGCTGCTCCTGCTGTGGGAGTGCCACTCATCCAGGTCAGCCAAATGGCACTCCCATTGTGGGAGCACACTGACCACCAGGGAGCAGCTCCTGCATTGAGCTTCTGCCCTCTGGTGGTCAGTTCGCATCATAGCGACTGCTTGACTTACCATTCTGGTCGTTCCACCATTTTGTCACTGGGCTTTTATATATATAGATGTTATGTGATGATTGTTGTGATGAAAAATAAAGCAGGGGAGAAAAAGAGTACTGGCATAGGGGATGGATGTTGTTGTTTTCTAGGAATATCATGGAAGTCTTCTGATGAAGTGACTTTTGAACAGAGTCCTAAATGTAGTTTTCTAGGCAGAGAAAAGAGCCAAGTGTGGAACTCACAGGCCTGTTAGGCAGATTGCTGATTGGGCTGTAAGTGTTGAGATTTGGGGGAAAGGTGAGTGAGAGGTCTTTCCACCTCCTTAGTCAGGAAGATGGAGGTACAGGGGCAATGTCCTTAGAAACATGTGGAGCTCCTTTCTGCAGTTCTGCCTGATAGAAGGATGCAGTGACAATCAGATGGAATATCCCTTTTTCTTCCTGGCTGGGATATAGTATCCCTTTGTTATGCTTGACATGGAAAGTTAGGAAAGACCTTAACCAAGGATGTGATATTTTATCTGGGGTAAGAAGAATGATTATACTGGGAAGGTGATTGGGATGGCCTTAAGGGGTTGGAGCTCAGGAGAGGGTAGGTGGGAAACTAATTTGGGGAATTGTCAGGGAATAGAGCCCATTTAAAAATCAAGTCAGGGAAAGCATATTGAATGAGGACAGGAGAGATTTCAGAATGCAGCCTTGGGAAATAACTATCTTAAGCGGGCAGAAAAGGAAGGGAGCCAAGCAGAGAGAGGGAAGAAGAGAAAGCAGAGAAAATAGCTGGAAAACTAGGAAAGGGAAGAGAGTTTTGAGAAAAGGAGTGGCCAGTAGTGGCAAATGCTAGATAGAGAACGGTCAATTAAGTTGAGCTGGGGAAAGGTAATGTTGTACTAGACCTGAGCTGTCCAATAGGGCAACTATTTATGGCAAATTTACATTTAAAGTAATTAAGTTAAATATTTAATCTCTCAGTCTCACTCGCTACATTTCAACAATTTAATAGCTATATGTAGCTATATCTATTGATTAGCATAGATATACCAGTAGAATATTTTCATCATTGCAGAAAGTTCTATTTGACAGAACTGTATTAGACCATTATAATACCAGGAAAAAAGTTAAATAACAGTTTAATTTTTATGATAGCAACAGAGAAAATACTATAAGATAACTATGAATTGTAAAAACAAACAAGTTGATATTTTAAGGCCAGAGTTGGGGAAAGATAACTTTAGCTTGAAGTTTGGTAGCAGAATTGGCTGCTGAGTGCTCTTCATTACATAAGTAATGAAGTTACTTATGAGTTGAGCCTTCAGGGTCAGAGAACTTTCGAGCTATTGAGCAGGGAAGCAAAAAGAAAGCAGGTACAAAATTGCAGATCACTCTGAGCAATCAATTTTCCTAGATAGAATTTACATAAGTGGAGCTGTGGAGTGCAAGGCTATTTCATAGGAGATCAAAACATTTCTGTGGAGTGAATAATTGTAGAAAATTTAAATATCAGTGTTTGGAGCTTATTTTCTAAGTAATGGGTGCTATCAGTGTTTTTAAGTTAAGGAGGAGCAACATGGCTAAAGTCATAGTTGGTAAATTAATCATTCCCTTCTCCATCCGTAGTCTTTGTCATTTGTTTTACTACTAAGTAATTTTGCCTTACGTCTATATATTGCTTTAAAAAAAAAAAAATCTATAAAGCAGCCCTAGCCAGATTGGTTCAATGGATTGTCAGCCCATGGACTGAAGGGTCTTGGGTTTGATTCTGATCAAGGGCATGAACCTTGGTTGCAGGCTCTATTCCTGGCCCTGGTTGGGGCATGTGCAGGAGGCAACCAATCAATGTGTCTCTCTCACATTGATGTTTCTCTCTCTCTGTCTCTGTCTCTATCCTTCTCTTCCACTCTACCTAAAATATCAATGGGAAAATATCCTCAGGTGAGGATTAACCAAAAAAAAAATCTATAAAGCAAAGTCTGGAAAGTTGTAAGTTTTAATAATTATGTATTCATAGAGGAAAAAATTAACTTCACAGAAGTTAAATTACTTGCTAATTATGAGGCTAGCTTCAAAAATGAGTAATTTAGGTAGACTGGAGATAACTTGTCAAATAAATTACTACACAATACATATAGTCTTCAATATATGGTGATTGCCTTGACAGTAGGAAACATGTCTTTATCATGTTTGTGAATTTTAGTACCTAACATAGTAAATGAATGAAGTGAGATTGAATGCAGGAATATCTATTGAAAGGGAGATAGATGCAAAATTTGATAAATGAGATAAGTGGATCTGGCCCTACATTGTATTAATAGAAATTGAAAGAAAGGGCTTGGTGTGAGAAAGACATTGTCTAGGTAAAAATCATCAGAACTTAATGACTTGTTCAGATGTAAGGGAAAAAGAGTTTCAGATGACTAAAGGATTTAGGAAGATGGTACCATTGAAAAATTAGGCAAATTGATGTGGAATCTTGTTTCTGAAGAAAACTGCTGAGTGCTCTTCATTACATAATGTTTTGTAAAACAAACTAAAGCCCTTTCTTTGTTAATAAAATTCTATAACAAGAACTTAATTTGCAATAATGTCCGAACATACAGATAGCAATGCTTTGTAATGAAGGTCTGTGAAAAAACAAAGAACATTCCAGAGAGAACATCACAGGTTAGAAGATTGACTAATTTCCTAAAGCCTCAGGATTTTTTTTTTAAGGATTTAGTTTCTGGTGTAAGCTTAATATTGCACTCCTCCCTTCCTTCCTTCCTTCCTTCCTTCCTTCCTTCCTTCCTTCCTTCCTTCCTTCCTTTCTTCCTTCCTTTCTTCTTCTTTCTTTTTTTTTTTTGCTACTTAAAGATTAATGCACCTCTTAATTCATTTACTCAACTGTGGGTGCTGTCTAGATTCAGATTCTGGTGTATGAGATTAAATCACTCCTGAGAAAATTTGTTTCTTTTTTAGATCTTGCCATATTCAGAAGTTGCTGAAGGTGAAAAGACAGTGAGTAATATATATGGTGTTATTTTTTGAAATGTTAACATTTTAATATTTTTTTTTTAGGATTTCAAGTTGGATTCTTAAAATATATGTTTATTGGATTTAATCATAGATTATTTTGTCATTCTGAGAAGTAGCTAATGTAGCCTAAAAAGATTAGTTTAAAAAATGTTTTTATTTTTTTCAAAATGTAAATAGGCATAATCATTTTTACTATAAGAATAATACATAGTACTGTGGCATATTTAAACAATATAAAATATAATAAAATTCTACCTTATAAAGCTAACCACTGTTAATATTTTGGTGACATATTTCCTGTGTGTTAATATGTGTATATCTTACATATGAAATTTTAGAGAAGTTGAGTCATACATACTTTTTAATAAAGTCCTTTTAAAAGCCAATATATAATGGATGTTTTTTAGTCAGTGAAAAAAACCTTTAATTACTAGTGATAGTATTTTATTGTATGACTATATTTTTAATTTATACCTTGTTTTAAATAGGTTATTGTTTTAGAGGACTGTAAATGATATTGTGATATATACACACACACATACATACATACATACATACATCTTTTTGACCATTTTGACCTTAGTATACATTCCTAGAAGTGGGGGGTCAAAAGTGGGATCAAATGTGTGATTAGTTTATTTTAAAATAAATGCCTGGCCAGTCAGATCATATTTTCTTAGCAGTAATAAGCTCTGGTTCCCAGAAAAAATATTGCTTAAAATCTCTCCTGTAAAACTCAGGGGTAAATGTGCACGTGTATGTTTTGCAGGCAATTGCAGGAATGTAGAAATTCAGTTATATGTTGAAAGAACAAGCAGATGTCAGCTGCATTATATATCCCTCACTGAAGTTTCTTGCTGTAAGGGCCAAAAATAACACTAAGTAGAGCACTCTTGAGATGTTTTATATAATCCTGCTTCTGAATTGTGGCTTCTGAGAGCCAGCTGCAGTAGGATTGCTTCTAGGAATACAACCTGATTAGCTTTATTGGGGTAGAGGTTCCACCTGCTTGAATCTTTATTTTCAAGGTGTACTCATATCAGTGCTTGATAAGCTTGTTATGCTTTCACTTAAGATCAAAAGATGACTTAAATCAATGTATATGTTAAGGAGATGCTGTGCTAAAGGCAATGGAATCAAGTTGATGTATAGATCTCATGGGATTATTTTGTATAACAGGGTAGCTATCTGTCCTGGATAGCTCTGGACTGACTCAGGTTTCCCAGATCACAAGGTGTGATTGATTATGAGCTTCTACCTATTCCTTTACATTTCTTAAAGATTGCAAATTTTATGCTAATTATTCATGTCAAATACTTAAAAGTACATTAAAGTAAAATCACATTTTTTTCCATAATGTTCTTTTTTCTGAGATTTGTAGACTAAATTCAGTAATGACTTTCATGCTTTTAATTAAAGTATGTTGGTAATACACTAGCATATCAGTATAATTTTACTATTTTCAGCCTATACTTTCTGCCAAAAGAGAGTATTTATTTATATGTTAAAAAGATTATTGAGGTGACTGTGTGGACATTGTCTAAGGCAGTGATTCTCAATCTTGGCTGCACATTAGAATCACCTGGGAATCTTTTTAAAATCCTGATTTCTGGGCCTCATCTTCCGGAAATTCTGTTTCTTTGTTACTAATGTTATGGCCCCACCCCATAACAAAGACACAGAATTTCTGGAGGATGAGGCGCAGAAATCAGGATTTTAAAAAGATTCCCAGGTGATTCTAATGTGCAGTCAAGGTTGAGAACCACTGGTCTAAGGGATAATGGTAAGTATGATAAATTACTCAAAGAAAATGTGTGTGTCAAATCTTAATGGTCTTTTTCTGAACAAGCTGAAGAAACGTTCCTAGATTCTTTGGAGATTCTAGTAGTATTTTGGTTTGCTAATAAAAGTCAAGGAAAGTGGCTAGCTTTTTGTTTGTCTGTTTTTAATATCTTACAAGATGCTTGTGTAAAGTGTTTCCACATCAGTAATTTCACATTGTCTTTATTCATGTATTATACAATATGGAACTGCACAAATTAGATCCAGGTCCTAAAAGTGGTAAGAATAAGAAGTTAGTAAGTTACTTAGTAAAATTAACTTCTAATCTTTAATTATGTGTAGATGTCACAAATTTCGTTCACTGGGCCTCCAGTTTATAATAATTTCTTACCAATTTACACCTTTCCTTATATAGGTCTGTTTGTCCAACTGCCTGTTTCACATTTTTATTTGGATGTCTAACAGGCATTTCAAACGTGCAAGCAACTCTGGGAGGATTTCACTTGCATCCCAATTTAATGCCTTGGTTTCCACATCTTCCTGGGGGAGGTTTCTGAGGCCATGCTTATTTTTCATGGTGCTTCTGCTTTTATTTGGAGTATTTCAGTTCTGTTCCATTATTTGTTTTCTGGTGCCTGTTCTTTATTCTTGTGGCATTTTTTAATCTAATAGGTAATATAGCCTAACTTTCACAAACATCATAATCTGTATCTATAAAAGCCTAAAAGCCACTGTTACGACAGAAGGACTGGTTGCTATGATGCACACTGACCACCAGGGGGCAGACACTCAACTCAGGAGCTGCTCCTAGCCCACAGGCCCCCATCACCGATGGAGCCTGCTGGTCAATCTCCCAGTCCCTCCCCCCAGCCATGCCCCCAGGCTGGGACCGGGAACTGGGGGTGGGTGGCGGCAGATGTGGCCCCTTTCCCAGGGGGGCCAAGGGCTGGCTCCCTTCTCAGGGCTGGCGGCCAACCTCCTGGGCCCTCTTCCCCCTCCCCCCGGCTGGCAGGTCCCCATCACCCAATTGGGGCCGGGCCCCAGGCTGAGATGGGAAACTGGGGGTGGGTGGTGGCGGATGCATGTGGCAAGGGAAGGAAGTGGTGGGGAGGCGGAGAGGCAGGGGACCTGATTGGCCCTGATCATCAATCAGGCCTAGGGACCCCACCCGTGCACAAATTTCGTGCACTGGGCCTCCAGTTTATAATAATTTCTTACCAATTTACAGCTTTCCCTATACAGGTCTGTTTGTCCAACTGCCTGTTTCACATTTTTATTTGGATGTCTAACAGGCATTTCAAACTTGACCTGTTCCAAACTGAGCTACTTACATTTCTCCCTGTAAACTAGTTGCTCTTGCTGTCTTTTGCATCTCAGATAATGGCAATTCTGTCCCTCCGAGTGCTCAGACCTCAACATTTGACATCATTTTGATTCCTCTTTTTTTTTTTTTATCCCATAGTTGGTCTATTTGGAAATCCTGTTGGCTTTATTTTAAAAATATATTCAGATATCAGCTACTTCTCATCACTCTCACTGCTACCACTTTGGTTCAAGTCTCCTTCATCTCTTCCCTAGTTTATTGCAGTAACCTCCTAACTGATTATATATCCTTGTCCCTGGTCTAGTCTCAACATAGCAGCCAGAGCAATTCTATTAAAAAATAATCAGATTATGTCACTCATTTTCATAGAGCCAATCAGTGGCCCTCATTTCATTCAGAATAAAATCAAAGTTATGGCTAGGTCTTATAAAATTCCGTACAATCTGACACCCATTTACTTCTTTGACTTTATCTCCTCCTAACACTCTCCTGCTTGCAGTGTATTTCAGCCTCTTTGGCCTTTTTACTAGTCCTCAAACACTCCAAACTTGCTTCCTTATCAATATTCTACTCTATACTTGCTCCTCCCTCTGCCTGGAATACTCTTCCTTTTTATGTCCTAAGGTAAATTAACCTCATTTTACTCAGTCAACCCTGTAGTGGGGAAGTCTTCTTAGGACACTCTATCTAAATTTTTTTTTAAAATATATTTTATTGATTTTTTACAGAGAGGAAGGAAGAGGGACAGAGAGTTAGAAACATTGATGAGAGAGAAACATCGATCAGCTGCCTCCTGCACACTCCCCACTGGGCATGTGCCCGCAACCAAGGCACATGCCCTTGACTGGAATCAAACCTGGGACCCCTGAGTCACAGGCCGACGCTATATCCACTGAGCCAAACCGGCCAGAGCTCTATCTAAAATTTTAACTCCCTCTTTCTTAACATTTTATATGTCCGAATTTTCTTACATATTTTTGCGTGTTTATTATGTCATTGTTCATCACCCCCATTAGAACATAACTGCCACAAAGACAGGATTTTTGTCTGTTTTGCTCACTAGTATATTTCTTGGTATCTAAAGTAATACCGGTCTATATAGTAGACGTTCAGTAAATATTTAGATGCATGGATGGATCTATGATTGTACTAGACTATGCTTATTTTAATTATTATTCATTTTCTTAATCTGAAAATAATATTAGATTAAGTCAATAGAATTAGATTTATGTGACACAAAGATGCTTTAGGATATAAAATTGAAAGCCAGCATACTTTGAAACAAATATTCAGAAATTGCTGTGTGTACTAAGGATTTTTTTCTGGGAATAAGCAGGCAAGGAGTACAACTGTACAGAAGTTGAGAAAATGCTATTAATCAACAAAAATTGAGAATATAACAGAACTGTACAATGAAAGTAAATTTAAACCCAACTCAAAAACCTTCAAATATGACCAACCTTGTGAAATTAAACACTCCCAACCATGTATAAATGTTTAGAACAGTGGTTCTCAACCTCCCTAATGCTGCGACCCTTTAATACAATTCCTCATATTGTGGTGACCCCCAATTTCATTGTTACAAATTGAACATAATTAAAGCATAGTGATTAATCACAAAAACAATATGTAATTATATATGTGTTTTCCGATGGTCTTAGGCGACCCCTGTGAAAGGGTCGTTCGACTCCCAAAGGGGTCGCGACCCACAGGTTGAGAATTGCTGGTTTAGAACCATTACTTTCAGTTAGGAAGTTCCTGATAAAACTAGGGAAACTAGTAATTATTCATATTAGTACAGGAACATTTTTTTAGAAAATGTCTGTGAAACATTTGTAGTTTCCCACAGCTGTCTCTGTCAATTTCTTAACTTCTTTCCATTTCCAATGTTATATTTATTGGTGTTAGCTTATCATCCTAAAAGTAAGTGGTATAAAATGAAAAGCATTTATTATCTTACAATTTCTGTAGGTCAGGAATCCAAGAACAGCTTTGCTAGTTGTCTCTGGCTCAAAATCTCTATATAGTTGCAGTCAAGCCACTGAGAAGGGGGCCTGCTGCAGTCTTTTTTTAAAAAATATATTCTTATTGATTTTTAGAGAGGAAGGGAGAGGGAGAGAGAGATAGAAACATCAATGATGAGAATCATTGATCAGCTGCCTCCTGCATGCCCCTCACTGGGGATCGAGCCCGCAACCTGGGCAAGTGCCCTGATCAGGAATCTAAGTGTGAATTCCTCGGGGTTCATAGGTCAGCACTCAACTACTGAGCCATGCTGGCTGGCCCTGCTGCAGTCTTGCTTGAACGCTTGACTGGGTGGGTTGGAAGGGCAGGTGAGAAGGGTCAAGGTGGGAAATTCACTTGAAAGTTTACTTAGTGATTATTGACAGACGTGTTTCTCTGAGTCCTGGGCCTCTACAAGGCTGGGCAACTGGCTTTCCCTGATGATCTACCTAAGAAAAAATGTGAGACTCCAAACAAGATGGAAGTGGTAATCTTTTTACAATCGAATCTTAGAAGTAACATCCCTTTCTTTTGCCATATTCTGTTCATTAGAAGTGATTTCAGCAAGGAGATTATATACCAAGAAGTGGGGATCACTGTGCCCTTTTAGAGATTGCCTACCATAAATATCTCTTACCACATGCTTGCTAGTTGTTCTCACATGGTAGTAAGGACTTTAGCATAATTAGTTCATTGTCACTGAAGTTGTGGGATGTTTTCTTATCCTGTGAAATTGAAATCAGTTTATTAAAAAAAAATGCACTTAAATGGGCAACTATAGGAAAATCAATAAAGCATATGCCTTTATTTATTTTTTTAAGCAAATGCCTTTAAAAGGCATTGGAAAATAATTTCAAGCATTGTGAAATAACCATCACTTCAGGGAACTAACAGGGCCAAGATTTTTTCCTAGGAGACAACAGAAGCCCAAAACAAACAACTGCTATTAATTGTCATAACCAATTAAGACTCCCTCGTTCCCCTTAAATAAGGCCAAGCAATAATGTAATTGGTGGGAATATTTGTTTTTGTTATTTTAGTTTTGTTATGTTATCATAGTTGGTATTTGAAATGAAGGAGAGCTAATGACTTTGTCCCTACTAAGGAAAACCAAAACACTTGTCCGTAGGTGACATTTAGTGTAATGTTGTATGTTTAAATAGTAACTAAAAGTCAGCAATCTTTTTTTCTGTTTCTTTTAGTTGATTTCAAGTTATTCATTTAAGAATTGGGTCTTATAACTTCCTAAAGATTAGTAACTCTAGGTGGTATGGTTGATATTTAGTAGGCCCTAAGGAAATTCTGTCTGACTTAATAAAATTTATCATTCTAATCAATATTCCTCTTTGTGTTTTTGGCATTTGAGAAAATAATTGTATTACTTTGTTGATATCTTTGTAAAAAGGTCTTTGCACAATGCTTGGAACATAATAAGCACTCAGTAAATGTTCCTTTCTTTTTATAGAAAAAATAGACTGTATTACCATATAGTATTAAGTGCTTTCTTGGCATGCAGAACTAATACTTAATAGTGCATGGGTGCTATATAATTTTAAACTATTTAAATTTAAGAATGAATACATTTTGGCTGAACCTTACATTTCTAAATAATTTTTACTACTCCTAACCCATATCTTAAATTCTAATTGAAAGTAGTTTTTGACTTGGGTAATTTTCAAAACAAAATACTTAGGTGATTTCATTTTTCTCTTTCTACCTTCATTTTCCAGAATAAAACAAATATTGGGTAATGCCTAAGCCAAGATCTTTTTATGTGTGGAAAAGGAAATTCCTTCTGAATTGTGATTATTAGGATTGATGTGCATGTGCTTTCTACTTATAAACTAATGCTATTTTCCTTGTCCTTTTGTTTCACTGCTGCTTCAATCCTGATGCATTGTGCTTCTTCCTTGTTTGGATTGTATTTGTTCGCTGCTCAATTACACTGCATTAAAAGCTTCTTGGTGATAGCAAAGATGTCCTTGGCCCACCAAGTAAGTAGCTAAAGTTCAAATGGCATGTTTGGAGACATGATAATATTTTGATGTGTACTTATAAAAGGCATGCGGTATTTTTGTTTTGATTATTTAAGTGTTCTACTTTTCTTTCCAGACAGTGAAATATAAAGAATATCATCATTTAGTGCTTATCTGTTGACAATGTCCGTCTGAGATTGATAGTATTTGTATATTTACATCTGGATTATCTAAGGATAGATTATTTACTTAATTATCTAGTTAATAATTTAGGACCTTTTCTCCATAGTATTCCTTTCTGCAATCATCATGAAAAATAGGTCAGGCTACTTTGAGGCTGGACATGGTCTTAAAAAATTCACTGCCATATGACAATGAGAAATACTGTTTTGTTTTGTCAGAATTTTTACATAATAATTTGGTTATGAAATGTATTATTTATACTTTGGGATTTCATAAGTGAAACATGTTTCATCTTAGGAATTTAGAAGATGTCTTCCCGCCCCCCCCCCCCCTTTTTTTTTAACCTGCACTGTTAGCTTTGGAGGATACACGATGAATAAAACCTATGCTCTGCCCATAAGGATCATTATAGTCTAGCAAGGGAGTTAGACTCATCTATAACAATAAAGCATAATATGCTAATTAGACCAGATGTCCTTCCAGATGAAGCCATGGCGGCCGGGGCCGAGGCAGAGGAGGTGGCTGCCACGGCGGCAGGAGCTGAGCCCCTTGCATGAATTTTGTGCACCGGGCCTCTAGTCTATATATGTATATAAAAGCCTAAGCGACTGGATGACTGGCCAGTAGCTATGATGTGCACTGACCACCAGGGGCCAGATGCTCCACACAGAAGCTGCCCCCTGGTGGTCAGTGATCCCCACAGTTAACCTCCCACAGCCGGCCAACCTCCTGCGGTTCCTCCCCCCGGCTGGCCGGGTGGTCAGTGAGCTCCCATGGCCAACCTCCTGCAGTCCCTCTCCCTGGCCGGCTGGCCCCAATCGCCAGCCAGGCCAAGGGGACCCCCCTCCCACCATGTACAAATTCATGCACTGGGTCTCTAGTGAATAGATAATTTTAAAGCATTGTAACAGGGGAAACTTTTGTTTTAAAGTTTTGTATTAAAAGTCACAGAATTACTGCCCTGGCCTGATGGCTCAATTGTTTGGAGCATTGTCCTGTGCACTAAACAGGTTATGAGTTTGATTCTAGGTTAGGGCACGTACATAGGTTGCGGGTTCTATCCCTGGTTGGAGTGTGTACAGGAAGCAACTGATTGGTGTTTCTCTCTCTCTCTCTCTCTCTCTCTCTCTCTCTCTCTCTCTCTCTCTCTCTCTCTCTCTCTCAAAAATCAATAAAACATATCCTCGGGTGAGGATTTAAAAAAAAAATCAATAGAATTACTGAGATGAAAGGAACTTCAGATGTCATCTAAAAAGATGAAGATACTGAAGCTAAGAACTGAAATGTCCAAGAAATTAGAATTGGTTACTTACCCAGTGTGTCTTCTACTGGTTTTCAATAATTAAAATATGACTGCATTGTGAATTGGACAAAGATTTTTAACTTTATTAAAAGCAATGTGGAAATTATATTGACTTAGGAAGTTTTAGTATTTTTTATGAAATATATATCTGACTGTTGTAAATTTGCTCATTCCTTTAGGGTTCATTTTGTTGTTCCATTGGCAAAAGGAAGGGACTAAGCAAAATAATGGCAAGATTTCTTCTAGTTCTAAAATTATTTGATCTAAAACAATTGCTATTTGTCTCTAATGTATTATGTGGGGAGCCGACACGGCCATGGCATACTCAGCCCCAGGGCGTGTTATGTGCCATGCCAGCTCAGCCTGGTTCAGTGACCCTGAGTGGGGGGGTGAAAGGATTGAGAAAAGACAGACAAGAGAATGAAAGCTGGGTCTCGGTGGGACGCTGCTCCCTAGTGAGGAGACAGCGCCAGCGCCCACAAGCCGTGTCTTTATTTTATAGCAGATGCCACGAGGCAAAGTAGGGGCGTGATCACGTTGTTTACAGCATTCTCGTGAGTTTCATCCTCACTTAACTACATGCACCCGAACTCTGTCACAAGGCATGTGGGGCTACGTGTTTGGACCATAGGGTCAAGCTTACAACCATAGCCGTTGGCTATGATTGTGCTGGGAGGGTCCTGCCCTCCAGCTGGGACTTGCACGTGGCAATGAAAGGCCCTGTCCTTTCATTAGTCCGAGGCTTGAACCTGGCCAAAACACTGTAACCGCGCCCCATAGTATTATTTTTTTAAAAAAGAGAGATGATTTAAGGTAATACGCTAAAATTCCTTTTTTAACTGCAGTAATTTATAGTATTTTAAATATATTGTTTATTATACAATCAGCATTATTAGAATAGTAGAAATTTTGAAAGTACACAAATACCAAAACATTTTTGTTTTCTTATTCAGCTTTATTTGTGATGCATGACAGATATTTTCTTTCTTGTGTGTGTGTGTGTGTGTGTGTGTGTGTGTGTTTGTGTGTGTGTGTGTTTTGTTGTTGTTGACAGTATTACAGATGTCTCCCATTCTCCCTTTTTGCCTTCCTCCACCCAACCGCGCCCCACCCCAGGCCTTCCCCATACTATTGGCTGTGTTCCTAACTTATGCATATGTGCATATATGTTCTTTGGTTAATCTCTTCCTGTCCCCTGAGATCTATTATTCTGTTCCAAGCATCCATACCTCTGGACCTATTTTGTTCATTAGTTTATTTTGTTCATTATAGTCCACATGTGAGACAATTTGTCTTTCTCTAACTGGCTTATTTCGCTTAGCATAATACTCTCCCAGTCCCTCCATGCAATCTTAAAGGGTAAGAGCTCCTTTTTCACAGCTGTATGGTATTCCATGGTGTAAATGTACCACAATTTTTTTATTCACTCATCTACTGATGGGCACTTGGGCACTTAACTGTTGTAAATAAATGCTGCTATGAACACAGGGGTACATACATTCTTTCTAATTGGTGTTTTGGGATTCTTTAGGGATATATACCTAGAAGTGGGATTACTGGGTAAAATGGCAGATCCATTTTGAATATTTTTATAAACTCCATACCATTTTCCATAATGGCTGCACCAGTCTGCATTCCCATCAGCAGTCTACTATAGGGTTCTCTTTTCTTCACATCCTCACCAGCACTTGCTATTCATTGATTTATTGATAGTAGCCATTCTGGCAGGTGTGAGGTGATACCTCATTGTAATTTTAATTTGCATCTCTTTGATGATGAGCGAATTTGAACATTTTTTCATGTTTATTGGCCATCGGTATGTTCTCTTTGGAGAAGTGTCTGTTCAGGTCCTTTGCCGATTTTTTAGAATGGATTGTTTGTCTTCCTGGTGTTGAGTTGTATGAGCTCTTTGTATATTTTGGAAATTAATCCCTTATCTGATGTATCATTGGCACATAACTTTTACCAAAGTATGTTCTCTTTTCATTTTGTTAATGGTTTCTTTTGCTGTGCAGAAGCTTTTTATTTTTATGTAGTCCCATTTGTGTATATTTTCCTTTGTTTCCCTTGCCTTTGGCAATGTATCGGTGAAAATATTGCTAGGTGAGATGTCTGAGATTTTACTGCCTTTGTTTTCTTCTAGGATTTTTACGGTTTCCCATCTTACATTTAAGTCTTTTATCTCTTTTGAGTTTATTTTTGTAAATGGTATAAGTTGGTGGTCTAGTTTCATTTTTTTTTTTTTTTGCATGTACCTGTCCAGCTTTCCTAACACCATTTATAGAAGAAACTATCTTTACCTGGCAGATATTTTCAATGGATTTTTCAGTTACTCTAATTACCTTATACATTCAAATGTTGGCTCAGATGAACTGATTGACATAGCTGAACTTTATAAATAGAATTTAATTTTTTTAAAAAAATATATTTTATTGATTTTTTACAGAGAGGAAGGGAGAGAGACAGAGAGCCAGAAACATCAATGAGAGAGAAACATCGATCAGCTGCCTCCTGCACATCTCCCACTGGGGATATGCCCGCAACCCAGGTACACGCCCTTGACCGGAATCGAACCTGGGACCCCTCAGTCCGCAGGCCGACGCTCCATCCACTGAGCCAAACCGGTTTCGGCAATAGAATTTAATTTTTAATATCAATTGAAATGATTCTAATTTGGGGACTGGGTTTTATAAGTGGAGGTCTTTAATTTACTTGGAATATAAGAAATTTATTGTATATTTTATGCCTATAGAAATAAAAATATACAGCATATATTAGGGATCGTTTATATTGTGCTCTATCAACTGTTAAAAGGGGACTGTATAATTATTTCATGGAGACCATATGTTTTTTAAAATGGAAAGTAATTTCACATAGTACTTCATTAGGATCTGTACTATTGAATGAAAAAGCTATAATTTTATATCTACCAACATATTTAATATATTTAAGTATTTGGGAAAAGTTATACCATCTGTAAGGGGAGATTTAGAATTTATGTAGAGATCATTTATGACTTTAAAATATTTACTTAACTTCAGCTTATCTTAGCTTTCACTTAGATTAAGGGCAAATACCAGACTTTGAAGCTTATACAGTTCTTCAGATTTTATATTGATGAGTTGAATTCAGAAAGTAAAGAATGATAGTTACAGAGTCATATTCTCCTTAGAAGTTGCAGTTGGTATGTTAATATGTTACTGCTAATTATTCCATTGTGATTAATTTTACTGTAGTTAAGATAGTAAAACAATATGAATAGCAAAGTAGGTTACTTTACTTCCACTACAAAATACAACCATGAGAGGGCACTGTAATGCTATCATTAGTATGTGAAGTAATTGATTGTAATGTTAGACATTACACTGAAATCATGCAGTCATTCATTCGTCAAATATTTATTCAGTCATTTAGCATGGATTTATTGTCACTTTTATTTCAAGGGATACAAATAAAAACAAAGTCACTACCCTTTTTAAGCTTATACTTAACTAGTCTACAATTGTGCAAATGATGTAAGCTATCAAGATGA